ACACTACAGTAAAAGCACTGTAAATGTGGGACTTTTTTTTTAAATATAATATATAGTACAGCACAAATATGTGTCTTGTGGGTTGTTTTCACTGTTAAACATGCTGGGAGTTTGAATATTGTTTTTTCTCAGTATAAAACACAATATGATGTTGAAAATGTGGGACTTTTTATTTCAATATAATATATAGTACAGCACAAATATGTGTCAGTATAAGACCATGTGACACAAAAAATGTGTTTTGTTTTTTCAAGAGTTTAAGAAGTTTTATTTATTTCCAGTATGAAATTTTGTTTTGTATTAATGACGAGAGTGATCCCTCCATTATGCTTGTTAATCGTCTCATGGAAAAGTATCCAAACGTTGATGCCAAAGTATTCATAGGTAAGATCCCCTGCGTGTTTGTTTTAATTTCATATAAAAATACTTATATGTTAGCCATAAAGAACGTTCAGGTATATACGATTCTAAGTAGACAATTTTAGTAAATTATGTACCTTTGTTTAACAACCATTTGTTAGATACACTGTTGTTTTTATAATTAACAGAATGGAACATTGGCTGATATTAGTTTGATTATCCAATGACTGATGCTTTATTTATTAACATGCACTACTCTTGTTTCTGGATGAGTCGGTTAGTAATCTATATCCATGTGTGTGTGTGTTGTTAACACGCTTTCATAAGTTTAAATTCACAGATTTTAACATGAGGCACAAAGCTGAGTGATTATTGGAATTTACTAATTGATTAATCATTAGGTTCATTAGTTAATTATATTCATCTAATTGATTATTCTCACATGAAATAATCAAAATTAACAGAAAATATTGAGAAATCATAATAGTGATGTTTTAGTTACATAGATAGTTCGAATAATTGAAAACAGTAATGATTAGAAACATTAGTTTTGATTGGTTGCTTATTTTTCATGAATTAATTGATTTAATCATAATTTTGATTAGTTATTTTAACTTAATCAGTTATTGATAAATTAGCTTTAGCTTAAGTCTACAACATCCATACTGTGGCATCCCAGATCCTTCATGATTTCTTGGACTGTGTTTCTTTACTAGTGGTCAAGATCATGGCCATGTTTCATTGAAGGTGGCATTCTAAATCATTCGTGATTTGTTGTTTTAGTGTATACAACACACTAGGAATTGCATGAACTGCTAATTAATAACTTCCAGTGGTTGGAACCAGTCTTCATTTTTGTTACATTTAATAGTATGCAGTACAAGTCTTTCAAAATACTGGTATAATTGTTTTACATTGTTTTAAGTTGTTAAAACATATAAAAAATTAATATTGGGGAAAGATTTGTGTGCGTGAATAACATTAATGTCTTGTAGATTAATTATTAAATCTAGTTTTGGTTATCTTTTTGTTCTTATTTGTCTAGGGGGAATGAAAGTAGGAGTTAATCCAAAGATAAACAACATGCAGCTCGGTTACGAAGCTGCTAAATACGACTTGTTTCTAGTCTCTGATAGTGGCATCAGAAGTGAGTATCCGTTTCATGTTCTATCATTAACTACAAGTGTCTATGTAGAATGTGTTTCGTCTTTAAGTTAACCAGAAACTATACTTACGAATCCATGAACAACGATAGAACACGACTGAACGTTTTGTGACATTTCTTTTTGTATTTTAATAAATCTTATTTTGTATATCACAGCCACACTTTAATGGGTTTTTTTCTTGAGGTTATTTCCGTATTCAGAACGCTGTTTATAAAAGCCTGAATGCTACATTGACAGAATTTTTTATACTGTAGTGAGTATCTTGAGTTTTTGTAAAATGTTGGAGCTACTGGTGTTTTTGTAATATCTCCATTAGGAAGAGTTAATTTTAAAATGAAATCTACCTACATTGAGATTTTAGTGTCAGATCAGTACAAGTGTTACCTGATTCTGACTAGCCTGTATGAATACTTCAGTTTTTCCCTCCTTACGTTCCTGTAACCACTTCTTCAGTCGTCTACTGCATGTTAACCATGACAGTGCTTGTTACATTAATCAGCAGCCATTGATTTCTTTCAACTAGTTAAGTTTGCTTTTTTTTCCCACCTGTTTTGGCGAGTTTACTCTCTAATTGGATATTAGCAGGTTTTTATCTAAGAATATCTAGCTACTTTTAGATGGTACTTATGAGCTCACCCCCATTTTACTTTGATTTGTTTAACACCTTTTAGAATTAGTTGCTCTCTTGATGGTACTTATGAGCTCACCCCCATTTTACTTTGATTTGTTTAACACCTTTTAGAATTAGTTGCTCTCTTTTTCAGGACTTTTGTGAACATGCAAGTGGCACCAGTCTCTGATGTGGGTGCAATTCTCTTCTTTAAATACAGAGTTTCTCAGAGATTGTGACCTTTGTTTTTAGGTGTCGATTATTCTACATTTTCTTAAGGATTTTCTCTCATATTTTATTGGTTTAATCTTAGTAAATGGCTACTGTCTCACTTCTCTTCGAATTTCTTCACATAACCAACAGGGTTAGGCATGTGTAGATGTTTCTCTAAACAGACAAGAGTGTACTACTGTGTAGATGTTTCTCTAAACAGACAAGAGTGTACTACTGTGTAGATGTTTCTCTAAACAGACAAGAGTGTACTACTGTGTAGATGTTTCTCTAAACAGACAAGAGTGTGCTACTGTGTAGATGTTTCTCTAAACAGACAAGAGTGTACTACTGTGTAGATGTTTCTCTAAACAGACAAGAGTGTACTACTGTGTAGATGTTTCTCTAAACAGACAAGAGTGTACTACTGTGTAAATGTTTCTGTAAACAGACAAGAGTGTACTACTGTGTAGATGTTTCTCTAAACAGACAAGAGTGTAATACTGTGTAAATGTTTCTGTAAACAGACAAGAGTGTACTACTGTGTAAATGTTTCTCTAAACAGACAAGAGTGTACTACTGTGTAAATGTTTCTCTAAACAGACAAAAGTGTACTACCGTGTAGATGTTTCATGTTTCTCTAAACAGACAAGAGTGTAATACTGTGTAGATGTTTCATGTTTCTCTAAACAGACAAGAGTGTAATACTGTGTAGATGTTAACAAAACCAAGTTCACAACTTACACACAGAGCTGAATCTAAATATGCATTTAACAGTTTATACAAAAATGTTTTAATACAAGACAAAAGATAATAATTGTCAAGTTATCAAAATGATTATTGGAAAAGTTTAGGATTGTCTTCTTGGGATGTTATTCAGCTGTTAACAAGCAAGAGAAACAAGTTATTGATATTCTAAATCTGAATCCAGGACTTAAGTTTGAAAGTAATAGAACATCAAGGATTGAAGTTAATACTGGAAGATAACTTGTATTATTTCCAACAGTAAATATGGTGGGACTGGAGATAGGAAAATATGTGCACTGAAGTTGGATAACAATTCTGTGTTTGTATTTTCTGGAAATAAAGTCTGAATGTTCATCTATGAAATACAATTACAGTTGTATTAAATTCCTTGGCTTAGTTTTATTTGTCCGTGTGCATTAAAACTTGTGATTGAGAATAATAAATTTTCTGACCTCTACATAACATATTTCTTGAGCTGAAAGCATGGGTCAAGCCGAGGTCATAGTTTTAGACGTTTTACAATAATTAAATATTTGGTTAAAACAATCTGTTATATGGGTACTTGATTTAACAGGTGAAATATTAAATGATGAAATAATTAAATTTTTTAGGGGTAAATAATTTGAACTTTTCATAATTTAGTGAATGTACTGTCACATGTTTCAAAGAAACTAGATCCATTTAACTTCTGGTGGCCTTTCAGTGAAAGAAGACACACTTTTGGACATGGTTTTCTCCATGAAAGAAGACACAGGATTGGTCCACCAGATGCCTTTCACGTGCGATGGTAAAGGTTTCCCTGCCATATTAGAAAAGGTTAGGCCTAATGTTGCATTACACCATCATGAACGTTTTAAAGAAACGTAACGAAGTCCTAGAACTTTTGACAGGTTGACCTTTCTTCTTTGGGGGTAAAGAGGGTAGGTCCTCTTGTTGAAGGTGCAGGCTATCAGTTTTTTTAAATTTGATGTTCCAAACATTTTTTGATCCTACGTGTTTGTTATTCTCAAGAATGTTTTAATAAAGATTTGACATTAAAAACAACAGTTTTAAAATATCATTGTTCTCATAGCTTTTCTTGTATACAATTCATTTTTGTAGTAATATGTAATTGGTAAGCACATGGAGAATATTTTTGTATAAAATAAAATTATAAACGGTTGTTTCTGAAATTAGAAGATCTTGACGATTTTTGGTTTTGTGTAACAGTCAACATCATATTGTGTTTTATACTGAGAAAAAACTAAATATTCAAAGTCCCAGCATATTTAACAGTGAAAAGTTAACTTAATAATAAATTGTTGATTCTAGTTAACTTAATAATAAATTGTTGATTCTAGTTAACTTAATAATAAATTGTTGATCCAAGTTAACTTAATAATAAATTGTTGATTCTAATTAACTTAATAATAAATTGTTGATTCTAATTAACCTAATAATAAATTGTTGATTCTAGTTAACTTATTAATAAATTGTTTTTGATAATTTTGTAAAACAGAATTAACTTTTGCTAGTTTTAAAAAGAAAGAAAGGGATTTGGACTATAAACTCTCAACAGTTGCATTATTTTTTAATTATTTACGTAATGAACACTGAAAAACAGGTTTAGATAAAAATCGCTTAGCTGGTAACAACCTCCTAACACTTTTACCTTCTTGTGTGTAACTAAAGGTGGAACAGTTGACTAGTGTGTAAAGAAGAACATAATTTACAGAAAGCTTGTTGAAATGTATATGTATATATATCATAAAACCAAACTCTGAATTTCTACAGAGATAAAAGGAGCTTTAAATTTGAAGAACAGACCTTTTTACTGTGTAAACATTTAGACTATCATTCCAGATAATTTTCATATTAAGTATGTAAATGTTGGTAATATTCTTCTGGACATTTCTAGAAATATCATTAAGTTTTCAGGAATAATTACTGTAAATCTCTGTTTAAGAAACATTCCAGTTGGTGTTGAAACAATGTAGCATCCATGTGTTCATACATGTATAACTGGTTTCGATCATCTAAAGTCATTCTTTAAACTTAAATTTAATTGATTTTTGTGGTTTGGAATTACTAGCATAAAACCTGTCAGATATATGTTACTCGGTTTAAGACTTCTGAAACATTATTATTTCTTTATAACTTTTATCTAAGCACTGTTATTGGCTATTTGAAAAAAGAAACTTTAATCTTAACTTTAAAAACAATTAATACAAAAGTAAATTATTTCTTATCCTGATTGAGGAATATTATTGTAATAATTTAAGGTATTTTAACATTAGAATGTTTTGTATAAGCATTTATTAAGATTGTTTTAATACCATCATATTTTGAAGAAACACCTTTTGCCAGGTTACAGTTCCCAAGTTTTAGTCAGACAGTAAGACTTTGCATGTAGTGTCAGATGTTATTCATAGCACCGAGAAAGTTTGTGCTAATTAAGTGGCTATAGTTTACAGTAACCCAGCTTAAATATATTTATTCTATATTCTATCTTTCAGTGGTTCTTTTTATTGGTTGTCATTTTGATTATTTGTCTTGGAAAAACTAATGGTATAAATTTCAAGTATAAACTATTTCCTTTTGCTGCTAATTTTTTTAATATATATATATATATATATATATATATATAATAGTTGTCTAGTAATTTAAAGTATTACTTATTCTTTGTGAAAGATATTACTGTATTTTTTCTTTGAAAGTCTGTTGTTAAATACAAGGATCTCAGTTTATTGGATAAATTAATCATTCTGGTGTCCACTATTTTGTTTGTACCTTTAACATTGCTAAAGCTACACTTCGATAGTTCATTAAAAGCTGATGATGTAAATGTAACTCAACTTTTTTTTAAACCGTTATTTTCAGTTCATTCTTGGTGTTAACCTTTAATATTAATGACAACTGAACTTTCTTTTTGTGTGAATTTGTGAAGCAAGTCCTAAATGTCAAAAGCTTTCAGTAGGCTATTCCATGAATTTTGATTAAAAATGATGTTAATGTGGTTGTATTTCATATGAAGTTAATTTTTTTTTTTAGTAAACTGAAACTTCATCAGAAAGTACAAATGACACAACCAGAAGAACCACTTCCAGGAGTGTCAATTATCAAACCTTTGGTGGGAGTCGACCCAAATTTGTTTGTTAATCTGGAAACTTTCTTTACTCTGAATTATCCTCAGGTAACTAATATATAGTACTTGACATTTCTCACAGAAACTTGTAGAGTTCCCACTTTATTAGGAGCTTAATGTTAGATTGGACTTCAATATTAGTCAGGACATGGACTCACTCAACATGGGCTGGAGTGTTTTCTTTAACTGTAGCCCAGTTCTTCAAAGAAGGTAGCTTGATGATGGCACAGCATTATGATGGTTAATTAATCTGAGGGATGATCAGTTAATTTGAGATTTGGTGATTTTGTTAACATTATAGTCTAGTCTTTATCTTGTTCTTCAAACCATGTCATGGTGAACTGTTGACACAGTTGATAACAATGTTCAGGTAAACTTTGGATCGTATTTACACATCTAAGAGAATTAAAAGACTCAACCCTTTATCATAAGAATGTTCAGGTAAACATTGGATCTTATTTACACATCTAAGAGAATTAAAAGACTCAACCCTTTATCATAAGAATGTTCCCCGTGCTATTACATCAACTCTGTGTTCCCCGTGCCACTACACCAACTTTGTGTTCCCTGTGCCATTACACCAACTCTGTATTCCCCGTACCACTACACCAACTCTGTATTCCCCGTACCACTACACCAACTCTGTATTCCCCGTACCACTACACCAACTCTGTATTCCCCATACCACATCAACTCTGTATTCCCCGTACCACTACACCAACTCTACGTTCCCTGTACCACTACGCCAACTCTGTATTTCCCGTACCACTACACCAACTCTACGTTCCCTGTACCACTACGCCAACTCTGTATTCCCCGTACCATTACACCAACTCTGTATTCCCTGTACCACTACACCAACTCTGTATTCCCCATACCACTACACCAAATCTATGTTCCCCATACCACTACACCAACTCTGTATTCCCCATGCCATTACACCAACTCTGTATTCTCCATACCACTACACCAACTCTGTATTCCCCATACCACTACACCAACTCTACGTTCCCCATACCACTACACCAACTCTACATTCCCCGTACCTCTACACCAACTCTACGTTCCCCGTACCATTACACCAACTCCAAGAAGTTGATTTGTCAGAATAACAAAGTTAGGGTCAAATGCCTTGTGAAGTTTACCCTTTTTTTTAAGTCTACTATTAATATGGGAAAGGGTAAAGCTAGGTACATAAGATTGTATCATTTATTATCAATACTTTGTGTTTTGAGTATAAGCCATCCAACTGTATTACCATCAACAGCCATCAGCTGTTGGTTGCTTCAGTTTCAATTACTGGTGGGTACTACTGCAAGTACTAGACTCTGACAAAGGCGTTGAACAGCCAGCCAAAGAAAGGGTCTTTAGTTACGATGATCATGATAAATACACGTCTACTATCCTGCCCCTTTGAAAGTCACAGTGACCCTTGCTCTTTCCTGTTGTCGTGTATACTAATTATAGGATTACATGTGTTTCAAGAGCTCGTACAATCACCCAATCTCTGCTTTTAAAAACACATGGAGTATTCTAATAATGCATATTTGTGTACGTGAGTTCTAAGAAAGTGAACAGACGTGATATACTCCTGAATTTTACTGTCTAATCTCCTTTATCACTGTACAACTAGGGTAGATGGCCTCATATTATCAGGCTGCTAATTATCTATAAATAAACTGTTATATTGTCATGTGTTTGAGATAATAATATTAGGAAGATTATAAATAGAGTGTTGAACAGTATTATTGTTGTAGGAATATTTTCATGTTAATTATGTTTGAAATAAGTTCTGGTTCCAGTTGAATTAATGTTGTCCGTGTAGCTCTCAAGTTGCTAGTTATTACCACTGATATGTTGACTGAAAATCTGTAATAACTGACTAGATCATTAAAATAATTGCTTAATATAAAATAGTGTGGCAGTGAACACGTGAATCTTTTTTCAATGTTGAAGATAATGTAACGTTGAAAATGTGGGTCGAAGATAACTTAATAATAAATACTTGATTCTAGTTAACTTAATAATAAATTGTTGATTCTAGTTAACTTAATAATAAATTGTTGATTTTAATTAACTTAATAATTAGTGGATTCTAGTTAACCTATTAATAAATTGTTGATTCTAGGAATCAACAATTTATTATTAGGTTAACTAGAATCCACTAATTATTAAGTTAATTAAAATCAACAATTTATTATTAAGTTAACTAGAATCAAGTATTTATTATTAAGTTAACTAGAATCAACAATTTATTATTAAGTTAACTAGAATCAACAATTTATTATTAAGTTAATAAGAATCAACTAATCATTATTAAGTTAATAAGAATCAACTAATTATTAAGTTATCTAGATATAACAAACCAAGATAACTTCACTATTCACAACTTGTTATAAAGACATTCTCTGTTAGTTGTGGCTAATTATAAACTGGCATGTAATAGTTATAATGGTGCAAGAGTTAGTCATCTCTTTATCAACTTGAATCAAAAAGTGAATCAGGCAGGTGAAGTCCTCACTGAACACTGGGGCAGGGTAAACATTAACTGATAAAATAAATAATTGCTCTATTTGATTATTTTAACTACCCATGTAGACAGATATGGTTTCCCATTATCATATTCAATTAATTCATAGTTGTTCAGTTTGTTTTCAGTCTCCTATGAACATTCACAAAAAACGTCCACCATTATTTTTTGTTTTCAGTCTCTTATGAACATTCACAAAAAACGTCCACCATTACTGTGTTTTCAGTCTCCCATGAACATTCACAAAAAACGTCCACCATTACTTTTTGTTTTCAGTCTCCTATGAACATTCACAAAAAACGTCCATTATCACTTTTTGTTTTCAGTCTCCCATGAACATTCACAAAAAACGTCCACCATTACTTTTTGTTTTCAGTCTCCCATGAACATTCACAAAAACTGTCCACCATTACTTTGTTTTCAGTCTCCCATGAACATTCACAAAAAACGTCCACCATTACTTTTGTTTTCAGTCTCCCATGAACATTCACAAAAAACGTCCACCATTACTTTTGTTTTCAGTCTCCCATGAACATTCACAAAAACCTTCCACCATTACTTTGTTTTCAGTCTCCTATGAACATTCACAAAAAACGTCCACCATTACTTTGTTTTCAGTCTCCTATAAACATTCACAAAAAACGTCCATCATTACTTTCTATTTTCAGTCTCCCATGAACATTCAGAAAAAACGTCCACCATTACTTTCTGTTTTCAGTCTCCCATGAACATTCACAAAAAACGCCCACTATCACTTTTTGTTTTCAGTCTCTTATGAACATTCACAAAAAACGTCCACCATTACTTTTTGTTTTCAGTCTCCCATGAACATTCACAAAAAACGTCAACCATTACTTTGTTTTCAGTCTCCTATGAACATTCACAAAAAACGTCCACCATTACTTTTTGTTTTCAGTCTCCCATGAACATTCACAAAAAACGTCCACCATTACTTTTTGTTTTCAGTCTCCCCTTTTGCCTGAGGTTTTTCCTACACATGGTAATTAGTGAAATATAGAACTTGGTGGTTTGGCCTAGATGTAAGTAGATCCTGATATGTATCTAAATAGTTGCGATCATAAATATTAGATCTAGACTACATATGACACGTGATTCATACAGATCTAGGCCCAAATAAACTACTTGAAGCCCATCTTCTGCAGTAGCAATGATACTGAACATTATATAGTTTACATCTGCAACTTTCAAATCTCAGTCAATGTCCCGAGTCTTGCACTTGTGGATTTCCTTGCTTTTAGAAATATACTATACAATATGATAAAATATGTTTACTATTCATAAAGAAATTAAGAAGGAAAATTATATTAAAACTGGTCTATTATTATTAGTTTCTTACACACTTCAGATTTTATTTACCATTACTCTCACAACTGCCACTTTTGCCCATTGGATAAACGGTCCTGATATCTAGGCCCTCTGACTGATATTAGGACAACTACGTTGTTTTTACCAATTAGTCTCATTATAGGCCTAGCTACAATATAAAGCAAGTTATACTAATATGCCAGCAGGAGTAACAGATGTTTTCCAACAGAATAGTTGACCTTTGGATGTTGTGGACACATTAAATTTAAGAGTTTAAGAAAAAGCTTGATAACTATATAAATGATACGGGTTGGGGCTTTGAGGTTCTTAATGTGATTTTTAATAGTTTTGGTTTAGGGTAGTGGATGGGACAGTCTAGATTGACCAACAGATCCCATGTTGCCTCTATATATTACGCTATGTTGTTTAGCAAATTAGAAATTAGTCAAATGACCTAGATCTTGTATTATAAATTCACGGTACAAAAACATGAAATCATAACTCGTACTTAGAATACACTTCAAACTGGCACTGCCGTGTTATCAGTAATCTACCGTGAGACGGTCGCCACGATATTTTTCGTGCAAATCAGGCACCACACCCTTTTAAATTTTTAGGAGCATTTGGTAGAGAGAAAACATTATTTTCGCGCCCTGATAATGTACGTATCTCAATCGTAGTTTTTCAAGTCCAGAAAACTATATCAAGTTGATTAAGTTTGCGTTCATTACACCACGAAATATTCAGATCGAACACTTTTAAAAAGACTAAACGTTCGTTCTACGTTAAAAGCACCGGTGAATGTGATCGAAACTTGATCATAAAATCATTTCTACAAACTATAATACATACGTGTGTGTAGTTAAGTAAATGTTAATCAAAATACATTCCCTTTCCAGGCCAAAAATGTTTTTTTTTTTCCATACTACTACATCTTCAATCAATTCAACATTACGGTGAAGGTCGTTATATGTAAGTTTGGGCCAACTCGCTTGCTAAAGATGTATATACACACGCACGCTTTCTGGTCGATATTCTGACCTACAAACAGTTTTTTAAAAGCTGTACGATACACACAGCTATTAGGTCATAAACATAGTTAATGTTTCAAATAGCTACATAACACAAAAAATAATTGTTACTTCATTTCAGTATTACCGAACGTAGTTCTATTTCATACCAAAATGTAGTGAAAACATATAGAAGGGAGCAGATAACGACGACATGTTTGTTTTTTTTGTTTTTCACGTAGTTCTATTTCATACCAATATGTAGTGAAAACATATAGAAGGGAGCAGATAACGACGACATGTTTGTTTTTTTGTTTTTCACGTAGTTCTATTTCATACCAAAATGTAGTTAAAACATATAGAAGGGGTGGCAGATAACGACGACATGTTTGTTTTTTGTTTTTCACGTAGTTCTATTTCATACCAAAATGT